AAAGGAGATGAGAAATTCTTTGTGATCTAGAAAAAATATTCAATCCCACCTCTGAACCTTTCTCAGAAAAACAATTGGATAGAAGTTGTGAACACAAAATAAAAAGGAATGGAGAGAGTGGACACCCTTGCCTGAATCCACTTCTCCCTTCAATCCAATTGGAATTTGATCCACTAATCATAATGGAAAATCTAGGATCTGAAATGCACTCCATCACCAATTTGACAAACTTGAAAGGAAATCCCAAGTCTAACATCATTTTCTGAAGAGTTGCCCAACTCATACTATCATATGCCTGTTCCATGTCAACTTTGATGGCTACAAACCCACTGCTTGCTTTAGAATGCCTTAACTTGTGAAATACTTCTTGAGCCAAAAGGATGTGATCTGAAATTGACCTTACCTTCACAAAAGCCACTTGCTCTTCAGATACAATTTTTGGAATGATCTCCACCATTCTATTCAACAAAATTATAGCTACAATTTTGTATATAGAATTACACAAACTGATAGGATGAAAAGCTGCTGGAGTAATCGGGTTTGAAGATTTGGGAATCAAAACAATCATTGTGTCTTTCCAATCCTTGCACAAAATACCTATAGAAAAGAAAAGATTAATGGCTCTAATGACATCATCACCAATGATACGCCAATAAGCTTTGAAGGAGTTTTTCTATAGAAGTAACTCTGGTTTTCTAGAGAGAGAATATTCGTGTAATTTGAATTTTTTGTTCCCGGCTTTTGCTCCTACGCCGGAGGTTCTGACGTTGAAGATGGTGGAGGGCCGCCGTCCGTCTCTGGCGGCGGCTACGAAGTGTTTTGCGAATGGAGGTATGGTTAATCTAAATATAGGAGTCAATCGACGGAATGGTGATTTGAAAATTTTGAATTTGGAGTCTGCGTTCAAAACTGCTGGAGGACCGTTGTTGATCAAAGAGAATGTAGAAGTTGTCCCGAAGAAGAAAGTGTATGTGGAAGGCAAAGGAAAGGGATTGTTGGAGAGGTATGTTCGATTACGCCTCAACTGTTGAAAAAAGCTTTGAAACGTGATATGGTAGATCATTCGGCTTTGTCGTCTGGTATGAAATTATATGTTAATAGGTTTGGTAATTCAAATGCAATCTCAGGAGATGTCCTTGGGATAAATGCGAATTCCAATTCTCCTGTTATCACAAAATTTCATTTCGATGGATGCTCGGCTCAGAAGGACTTTGTGGTAGTAGAGCAGGTTAATGTGGATATGCCTGTTAGAGCTGTGAAGGAAAACAAAAAATCTAATAATGCACTGGTCGAGACTACCTTGTGACAAATCGAAAACAAAAAATCTAATAGTGCACTGGTCGAGCTTTTTCTTTAATCAAATTATGATATCTCATCCATTGCAAAATGACCTCATTCAATTTGAATGCCCTCATCTAGTCTAAGGATTGGATAATTTGTGGATCTAATCTCTCTAATGATAAGAAGAGTATTATAGGTGAAACTTGAAACTACCGAGACATTAGCATCGAAGACATGAAATGTTGTTCGCCATATATTATTCCATAATGCTATAACGGCCAATGATCTGTAAATGTTGCATGACAACGCTATTATTCACCTATAAGCAGAAGCAGAGAATTTGTGGTAAAAACTATGGGCCACTGGTAGAATGAGGTAGTAAACTTGCAAATGCAAGCTGTCATACAAAATAATCAGCTTACTTGCAAGCAATAGGTAGAAGGCTATCGACACACCACGCAACTCATTTGCAGGCTAAAGTATACTCCTATGGGCTGAATACTGAAGAAAATGATAACATGCAGAAGACAAAATGAGCTAAACTGCACCACCTATACACGACAAATGAAATTCAATTTGCTGCTAAACAACGCCACTAGATTCGCAATATCAGTACAAGGAAACTGAAGGCATTCACCAGCTCTTCAAGGAAAATACTGCATCTTTCAAATAATCATTATTTGCTAACAAGGATTTAGTGTTGTACAACAATCTACCTACAATAAGCAATGGGCAACCCATAGCACAGTGCCACAACACTAGATCCACAACATTCGTACAAGCAGACATAATGTGTCTACATGCTTTTAAATAAAATGTTGCGCACACTCAAATGACAACCATTCACTCAGCTGATTATTGTCAAACACTTTAAAATGCCCTTCCACATGCATTACAATAAGCAGAATGTGTTATTCAACCATGTCATTCAGCATTGCAAGAAGAATTATGCTACAATAGTGCATTGCATTTACACGCAAATGTATTACACATACATGCATTACAACATGCATAACACATTATGCAAGCATATTACCCAGCATGCAAAATACGCCACACTGCAACGACACATCGCATTAATATGCAAAACACATCATCCATGCATACGCACCAACGTAAAAAATGTACTATGCAAGTGTATCACACAAGCATGTTATAACTGCATATAGTTAGGAATGAGTAGATATATTGCGGGTATCCTCACCTAACATATAAATATACCACATGCATATATATTAATACATGCAAAATATACATTGCAATATGCAACATGCATCATGCCAATACATCATGCAAGATGCAAATACACATGCCAACATACATGCAAACATCCAACTGTCGCATTAGCTCATTATGCAAAATAAATACAAAGGCATATACCCGCATGAGCCCCAACGAGCATGTTATAGGTGCACACGTGACGTATGAGGATGCCACATAGGTTAAAAAATAAACTTAAGTTCGAGCCCGATCCTTAATAGGATTCAACACGACTCAAACTATCAAATCAATATACGGTCGTGGCATCGGCCGGGATCTTTATTTTATACATTAATATTAGGGCTTAAAGGTCTATAACAAGGAATATTCACTAATAAAGGCATACAACAGAGGATGAACCCAATCATCTGTCGACAAGTGGACAGAGTCGACAATGTTTGACCAATAAAAAAAATTGCCAATAAGCACCCAAATGATGTCCGTGTTGACAGAAAATCTCAACCGGAGGGGACCACAAATATTTGAAAATGCATCTCAAATTACTATGAATATTCAAAACTCAAAAGTCACGGAAACCTAAATATTTAAAATTGAAATAAAAACATAAAAAAAAACTTAAAGCTAAATCCACCCGCCATCTGCGACGGTTTGTTGAGCTAGACAAGTTTGGAAATATACTTCAGCTCATAAAGAGCAAATGTCTGGTCGAGAATATCACTAGGATTCATTCTCAATCTGCCTCTTGCTAGTAAGGATGTGGCACGTATCTTCTAACCAGAAATTTTGCCGCCAAATGGCACCACAGGTAAATGGTTTAATCGGGACCCTATGACAGAATGACTTTGCAACTAAATGACACCATTAAATTATGGTCATTGTCAGAGCTAAGGTGAATTCAAATTTATCCCCTTAGAAAAATATTTACCCCATGTATACAAGGTACCCTTGGACGAAGCAACCCATGGATGCCAACAAGGATTCTTCTATCAGGTTGAGTCAACTATCTCCTCTAGTTTTGTAAACTAGGGACTACAATAACCTAGGATGACGGAATCATGGGATCTTGACCGAGTCTATCATCACTCTCCTCACCAGTTGCTTTTAACTACAAGGTGGCGAATTTTTTATTTTAAATATTAAAGTTCTAAATAACTAAACTCTGTTGTTACTATATGTTGAATACTACATATCTGTTTAACGACTAGCCTTATTCAAAAGTTTTCTCTCATTATCGGGATGGGTAATTAACTATAGGGGCCGACATCTATAGGAAACTTGAACTCAGATCAAAAAGTTCTCATAATATGAGGGTGAAATCATTGGGAAATATCTTACCCAAAACCCAATATGCCTTCTGAAAATTTGCCTCAGAACCTACTTCTTAAAGCTCTCCTCGACGACCAGAAGAAAGAGAAAGGGACTACAGAGAAGCCGGGGACGAATATTCGAAGCCCAAAAAAAATTAGAAAGTTAGGATGTTAAAAAGAAGCAGAACTCTTTGCTATGTTTTCTTAGATTGTGAGATAATTAAAGAATCTTAAATCATTTATTAAATGAATGTTCTTTTGTTTTATTTTACAGTTATCAATGCCACATTTTTATCTAAAATGTTATGTCCCACCATGCGTCCGGCCTATAATTGCAATACCACCACTTCATCCTAATTTTTTGTATTCACCAGAGGAATATATAGGCATGCAACGGCTCAGTATTAGATAGGGTAGTGATCTAAATAATAAAAACGTTATAAATGTATATTTGGTACGGTATTGTCTCTAGAAAATTACATTCGAAGATATGCTAACCCTAGAGACATTTTGCAATGAGAATATTTACGTGAGCCTCTAAACTCTAATTTGTTTCACAATTTCCTTGTTCATATCGTGTGGTTGGAAATTTGTAGGTCCAATGCAATAGAGCAAGATGTTTAATGAGAAAAATATACATGAGCTTTACTAATAAAAGCTCTTTCGCAACCATAAGAAGAATATATTATAGCATCTTATCTATGAAATATCTTTTCTTAAATTTATAGGGAGGTTCTTTTCCATAAATAGGAAATTGTGATCTGTCTAAAAAACTTAAAAGATTTAACATGTTTTATTTACTTAAGATAATACAACTGACAGTAATTTGACAGGCAACGAGTTGGAGATTGTGTCATGTGTGGCTTATGAAATAACCATATCATTTAACGACTGTGTCATGCTCCGTGTGTTGCAAGTCAAGCATGAAGATAACAACCAAATAACGTGGCACACACGGATAAAGGCAAAAGGGCACTGGAGTACACAAATAAATGATGATCAAGAAGACATACAAGGAGCAAACTTTAACTTTGATTTTCACAAAAATAACAAGATACATTTAAAATTATTTTAACAAAAAAAGTAGCATTCTTTAAAACGTGAAAATAGACCCAGTCAGAGAAAAAAATTTCAAAACTATCGCTATTTTGTTTGGTTGAAAATTAACAAACGAGAAGCAGAGGTTCATACATAAAAGTTGTTATCCTACCTTGCGATATGGCCACCTTACAATGCCATTTTCACGGCAGATTCTCTTCAAAACGCTGTCAGAAACTCCTGCAAGGAGCCCTTATAATTAGTCAGGTGACAAAACATTTTGGTGCAAATATGTGGATAACTCAATGGAACAAAAAAGCCCTAGCCATCAAGTTGTCGAATGCATTAGACTGCAATATCAAACCTGAAGACTCATACTAAAAGGCAAGTGGTTTATAGGCTTTGTCGTAAAAAGAAACAGATTAATGAAAATTTGTCATTTCTTTTCACAAAATGAATGAATTTCAAAGCATAACGAAATCCCCAACTCTATCGTCATTGGTTGGGCATAGTTCCCCATAAATAAATAAATAACAAAAGCTAAGATGCAGGGAAAAAGTTAAGCATGCAACAAAAATATTTAAAAAAAAAACATAAATAGCTCATTTGATTAGACTGAACTGAAACAAATGAGAAAGCACCTAAGAACTTGAAAAAAGTTAAGCAGCATTTCCTATTTTCTGACGACGAAAGTTGCATTTCCTATTTTCTATTATAAATGGCATAGTGAATGTGATTATTCATGTTGAAAAACTCTGATGATCAGGTGTACACATAATTATACCAACTGAGGAGCAAGCATCGAAGTAGTAAAAAGAGGCATGGACAATGAATTCATATCATTGATGTACTTGAAAAGCTATGAATAAGATATACCAAAGAACATAACAACATTCTTGACTAGAAGTTAACATATGTTGATGTCATGTTACTATAATTGTTTTCAATAGACTTCGCTAGATGCCTCAGGTAGGCCCCCATTAGTTGATAAAGGTCATGAGTTTCCGGATGTCCATGATGGTTAAAAAAAGGAAGATATATTGAGGAAAGAATTAACATTTCATTTGCACGAGCGCATGCGGGGGGTGGAGGGGCCTTCATACATAGAAATGCATGTTGACTAAACTTCAAAAGGAACGAAAATATTATGTGCCAAATAACAATCTTTGAATATCCAACAACAACAACAACAACAACAACATCAAGCCTTTATCCCACTACGTGGGGTCGGCTACATGAATCCTTTTTCTCCATTATGTCCTATTAAAAGTCAAATTCTCGTTTAAATCTAATAAAGAAAGGTCATTCCTAATATTTTCTAACAATCTTTGAATATCCAAAAAAGAGTAATAGGATAAGTGGTCGTCTTAAACCTACAACATTCATGTCCTTCACACAATCGGCAAAATTAAAGTTTACCAAGCCAACACAAAGATTTGGTCCCATTGAAGATCCTCCAACACTCAACTCAATAGCAGAGCTTTAAGCAAACAAGAGTACAAAATAATTCAACAGAGATTCTCTGTTAGGCTAAAGAACGAAAGCGTAGAGGAGAGCCCTCCTTCCACTTGTTAGAGAAGTGAGAGTGAAAGGAAATTTAGTAATTTATTGCGATTGATGGAGGTAGAAAGAAAACTTCATCTTCAAGATCCTTGTTGGATGAAAATACCCTTGGCTAAAGGGTATTTTTCTTTTCGATCAATCAAAGTGTTGATAATCAAGATACCTCATCTCAAATTTCTAATTTAAAGAATTTTGCTCTCGAGGTGATGGATGGTCAAATGAGATCTTCAAAGTTTGGAATTAGCTTATAAGGTGGCTCTCAAATTAGTGTCAAGTGTAAACAATGTTAGACCATCATATATTGGTTGATGCCTCGAGATTTATGCTTGATTTTATGGATACAATGAACACACACATCTTGTAGCAATTCAATGGTTGATATTTGAAAGTGTCTTCATTCTATCACATCCCTATTGCATGTAGATTGCATAAAGATAAATCTTGTCTCTTTTTTTTCTATGACCAAGAATAATTAGTACTTATACTTTTATAAGAATATAACTGATGAAAATAATTTATCTTTAGGCATTTTAAGTGCATATGTAATATTCTTGATAAGAGAACAATTGTATTGTTTCTTAGTATCCAAAGCTCATTATAAAGCACCATGCAGTGCTTTCTACCAATTGTAGCTTAAATCATTTCTAATTTCTTACCTAATGATCCTTAATAAAATAAATTATGATAACACTATAGTGTAGATGCAATTAATATTTAGTTACAAGACTTTTAATCTTTTCATAATATTCAAAATAACACAATCCCCTTATTTAGAATTCTTTAATTTACATCAATTTAGACCATATATTTATTGAAAGAAAAATATAATCATTTAAGTTTATGTCTCATGTCACCACATGTAGATTTTATTCACTTGCAACACATTGCCAAAATAATTGATCATCCCACATTAATTTTCATTTATCAAACTGAACTATTCAGAAATAAAATAGATTATAACATTCAAAGAAATATAATTTGAAAATTCCTTATGATTATACATCCAACTGAATGTAGAAATATAATTTCTAAACTAAAGATAATCACATTGCAGGTATCTAAGACAATGACTTACCAAAATTGTTTAAATTGCATCATATGATTATTTTGTTGATTGAAACAATAATTATCTCCGACTTACATTGGCATAATGATGCAACCTAGCTTTGATATTAAATCAAATAGGATTTAAGGCTTCCTAAGACAGATCTAAGATAATATAGATACAAAAAAATTGTAATTCCTGAACCACCAATTTAAACAAGCATTTATCATTTTTGATAAAAACTAGAAATATGTAATTTTCACCACAACTAATGATTTAATAGTCACCAAAATAGCAATTTAGCAAAGAAATTCAATATCAATGAAAATTATAAAAGGATCAGAAATCAAATAACAATTAGAAAAACTAGCTCGTACAAGTTTCGCCATATCCAAGCACACAAGTAAACCAACAATTAAAATTATAGAATATAACTGAGTAAGAAAAAAATAACTTTATTAAAAAATTCAAGCCTCATGCCTAATAGAAGGAGATGACTTCTCTCATAATTTGATAGCAACCACTTGCACCACACTAAATGTTTGCATATATCCAGCATTCAAGAACAATGAGGTAACAAAATACTCAAAATAATATTATCGAAAACTATTGCGTACATGCCTTAGGTGACCAATATTTATAGTCATAAAATTTTCCCCCAAATATTTTTAGACATAGTCGACAATCAACCACATCCTTCCCATAACAAACATGATCCATAACTCATAAAATGCGCAAAAAAATCATAATGAACACTAGTAGAAATCCCACAACTACATAAATGAATAAAAGGATACTGGACAAGGACCACAATTAGCAATTTAGAAAGAACTAAGCTTGTGGGCTTCGAAAATTCAAGCTCAGCTTTACGAAGAGAGTTAGAGGTCCAAGTGAAATTTTTAGAAGTTTATTTGGATTATAAGTAAGAAACTACCTAAAAATTTTGCACACATTTTGCAGAAGGTTTAAGATAAGATTCCAAGTTTTCCGTAGGTGCAAACTCGTATCGTTAATTATCTCTCTTGGTGATGATGGAGAACTGTGATTAAACCTAATCAATATATAGCACTAAATCATTAGCATATAGTTATAATAATTTTTGCTTAAAAAATGAGAGAGATTTACCACTGTAAAATTAAAATAGATAATGGGAGAAATGATGAAGAACTCGATCAATATCTCATGATTTCATAGTCCTGAGTTATCAAGACCATAGTCTACTAAGCTAGCAAAGATAGTCAACTTAGCCTAACAAACACATATTTTTTGTAGATATGTATTGCATCATCCACGAGGAACATATAAAATTAGGATTTGAATCACCATAAGAAAACAGAGAAAGTTATGTCCCATCAACTAAACCCTATGATTGACTTCTATTTGAACTCCTGTTTGAGCTAGTGAGAGAAACTCTAGTTTGCTAGTGAGAGAAACTCCCTTTTTTTCAAATTTCTTGCACTCTATCTTTTTGGCACACTTTTCGCTGATGTCAGAGGCAACGGCAGCGCCCTCTGACTTTCGCCGGACTTCTTCCATCCGTCTTAATGGCTCTTCCAGATCCCCTGAGGGATCAGATGATCGAAGAAAGTCTGCTAAATCAATCGCATTGGTTATTAGGGAACCTATCCCAGAAGCTATTTTGAAAGTATCTCCTATTATTGGTAAAGGAAAAGGTGTTGATGCTGCTTCTCCTCAACCCTCCTTCGATTTTGGTTTTATGAATGATTATGAGGCATCCTCTTCTGCTGGTTTGAAACACTTCATTAATAGATTTGGAAACGTCAAAGCGGACTCAATAAAGAAAATTTCTCCTTCAGTTAAGCCTTATAATGTTTGTGGCAATGCTCAAGAGAGAGTTTTAAATGTTAATTCTGCTGAGGAACTACTTGTAGACAAGGTAGCTGGAAATCCATGGGCGAAGAGACCCAATATTAAAATTAATTTTTCAAAGGATAAATCTTTCCTATCTGAAGATGGTATAGATGTTAAGATGTTTGAGCCTGGAGTGATGGCGAATTCAAAGAAACTCCAATATTCTAAGAATGAGGATCATCCAGGTTCCAAGGTGGATATTGTCAATGATGCTGTGACGGTTCAGGTTATTGGTAATTCTGATTCCCTCAAAGTTGATAATATGTTTAAAATTCTTGAATCTTGTTGTGAAGATGAAGCCTCCAAGACTGATGATATTGCTTGTTCCTTGGTACCGGCTGATGAAATAGAAGAAGGGGACGTTGTTGAAGATGGAAGTAAGTCTTCTATTTCAGGAAGAAGTAAGATTGTTGATAATAATGTTGGTGAGAAAGTTAAGTTTCAAAAGGAGCTAAGGTCATTGGGAAAATCTAATATCCTTCAACACAGTAGGAAAGGAGATATGTCGTTAAGAGGTAAGAAAGGGAGCAATCCCAATTCTTATCATTAATGTCTTCCATTGCCTTTTGGAATTGTAAGGGGGCTAGGAAAAGTGAAGCCTCCCACCATTTGAAGGAGTTTGTAAAAGAATATGATGTATTTTTTGTCGGGCTTGTAGAAACTAAGATTTCTACGATGGATAGGTTTGAGTGCAACAAACTAATTGTATGCAATTGAGACTTCTTTCTTTTTCCTTCAGAAGGCTTATTTGGCAGAATTA